CTTGAATGCCACATGTTGAAAGCTTTCCTCTTTTGCCGTTCTGGTTGGTGGTACAAAAGCGCCTGATTCGCTGACCCTCGAGGTCATAAAATATGATCTAAAAAAAACAAACAAAAAACGAATCACCCAAAAAGAGCGACGCGTTTATCGTCTTTCTGCCACGGATACATTTGACATCATCGCAGTGGCTGAAAGGTGAACGCTTAAGCTACAGATGCGATGCACGCGAGTCAGCACAATAAAAGGCTTCGCTCAGCGCTTCGTTTTATTCCGTTGAGCAACCTTTTAAACGGAGCCATAAGTGCGTTCATGACCAGATTGGGATTGTCGATATGTCTTTGTGTGTTGTGCCCGCATCCCCCAGTCACCACTCTTATTGAGCCAGTCTTTCATTGATCCAAAGGCATCTGAAGAGTAGGAGTAAAACTCCTTCCATCGAGTGCATCGTGCAAAGAAAAGCCTTCAAAACACGTGCATGACTTCAGCCATGTGACAACTGCCCCGCATATTTCTACTTTGGAATACATTTATTATCTCCTCGGGTCTTTTCCTTCAATTTAATTGTGCTTCCAATGAGTACAGATTACGCATGCAATGGTTCACAGCAGTTACGGTATTTTAGATGTCAACTGTGTCGTACGTTCGCCAAAAGCATGCACACAAAAGCGCTCATTAGGAATGCCCGCCTTCGCCTTGCTTCCTATTCAGCATCCTCTTAGTTTGGCTTTTAGTGGCCAAAGATAACATTGGTCCCAAGAGTTGGTCCCTTTAAATCGATAGTCCCTTTAGAAATTCAGGATGCGGGAAAATATTTGGTATCAGAGAAAGTTCCAAATGCAATCTGAGGCAAAGTAACAACCCTGAGGGCTGCAATTCAAAGAGTCCATTTATTGTGTCGTGCCTCTCCCTGCGGTCCTCGCAGCGCATTCGCATCAAATGAAAACACATTTCTGCCTACTCCATTTGAATATATACTGTTAATGTAGGTACACATAAACTTGCGCACACCCACACACACGCGCACGCACGCACACGAATATTCAATTCGCCACATCCTATTCTGAATTACCACAACACTGACCATCTTTGTCCCTTTTAAGTCGTTTGTTTGAAGCATACGGAATCTGCTTGCCAAGTGCAGGACAGTTTTTACTGTCTTTGCTTCAATGAAAGTTACAATCACAGGCGTGCACGTACACAGTATATACGCCGCTTGCAGCAGGAAAGTGTTAATAATTTTCCGATCATCAGTTTGATCATTATTTTTCATGTACATTTAATAAAAAAAAAAAAAAAAAAGGTTTTAAAAATCACATTGGTGCCCGCCATGTTCATTAAACACATCACTAGATAACACGCGTGTCAACATTGGACTATAGAATGAAATTCCTCTTTTAATGGGAAACATGCAGCACCTGATGGTCTTTTGATGGCACAAAATACCAGAGGTGGGCATTCCGTCAGTGCGTCACTGATGGGTATCTTTTTTTTGCTGAGGAATGATGACAGACGAAGCACTGACCCAAGTTGGTTTTCGTTCATCGGTGTCATTTGTCACTAACCAGGTCAAGTACCGATGGACCTGTCAGTCTGTCCCGGACAGATGCTCGTTCCGCTGACGAGTGACGAAAACGTACCCCGCCTGTCTCGCGTTTGTTTGTTCGCATGGGTGAATGCAGCAGCTTTGCTTGAGTGGACTGCGTTGACTATGTTAGGAAACGCTTTGCGCTTCCTGTTACAGTAGGTGGCGGTATACATCAAAGGGTTGTCATCTGCCAATAAACTAGGAGAGGAAGGACAACGAGAAGAACATGAAGAAGGATTCATACCATTCAAAGGTATGTACAGTATGTGGGCAGTGTTAGAAATACGCACAGGAGAAAAAGGGATGGGGGGGCGAGCATGTACAGTCAGGCAAGATAACAACTAATTAAAGAGCAAAGAGGTCAGAAAGTAGCTCTGAATTTTGACAGAGAAGTTCTTGTGAGTTAAGTTTAAAATTTCTCTTTTTATTTTTGGAAAGAGTTGGGTTCATTAGGAGGTTGTGAAATAGTATTATTATCCAAACCCACAATGTATCTCAGAATATGGTAGTGGTTCATGCGCCAAAAGTTGTTTGCCAACTCCTGAAAGAAGAAGAAGAAGACGGCGTAGAAGAAAAAGCAGCGATAATCATGGCAACGTGGTTTGGGATTCAGAATTTACGAGCCACATTAACCCACCCGGATTGTGGTTTTGGTGACAATGCGATGGGGGATTCTGATTAAAGTAAATCAAACTTTAAAGTAAAACGTTGTGACGTTTTAGGAATTAAAACGGCAGCAGGCAGCCACCAGCTTGCTCCCGCTGTACTTAACAGTTAAATAGATTGGAAAATAAATGTATGTCTGTGTGTCAAGATGTTTGGGCAGAAACCATACGATGTACAAAGTAGATGTACAGTGCACTCCATTTACCATTTTATCAGTGGAGGACGATATCGGATGATTGAAAATTCACTTTCAAGGTGTACTTTTCAAGAAAAAAATGGATTTTACGAGTGCAAAGCTTCGTAAAACGCCAGCACTTTTATCTCATGAGCATCTTTACGAGCACCGCCTCTTCAAAAAAAAATCTCAAAGTTAGGAAAATAAAATTACTCCTGCATCTGTGGTCAGATTATGTGAGATTTATCTCACATTTAAATCTCACATAATCATCCTACTGAATTGAAGAAAAAAAGCTACAGCCACTGCCTTTGATGTATCGGACCAAAATCAAATGGTTTCCTCATCGCCATTGCCACACTCTTCTACAAAGTTTGTGGCTCACAGTTTAATGCCTTGTTTTCGTCTCTGCATCCAGCGCCCTCGCCCTTTGGCGGATTAGACTTAGGGAGCACTAAATTGCCAAAAGTTGGACGCATTCATGTTGTCGTGCCAAGAGTCTGTTTAGGTTTGATATTCTCATGTCGTCGCTGCTGTCAAAGTTGCACCAAAGGCACAAAATATGACTCAAGCCATTGAAAAGAAACACCCAAAAAGTTGTACTTTCCAGCGTGTGGAATCATTCTCACTTGGAATGACGCCCGAGACAAAAAGTGCCACTTTAATTACAGTCTAATGTGCATCGCTTTTGCCCCGAGCAGCTTGCAAATCTTGAGCTTTCTGTTACAGAAGTTCAAGGACATATTGATGGCAGAAATGACATGCTCATGCAAGTGATCATATAAGGAAAGTCGGAGGAGTGGGGGGGGTGGGGGGTGGATGTGCTAGTCAAGAGCACAAGATGCTGAGATGTTATCCGACATGCCCTTTTTTGTTCCTTTCAAATTAGACACATGCAGTACAGTATATCACTTGCAGCATTTTAACTTTCGGTGTACTGTAACTGATTTAGACTTGATATGGAGCTTGTTTTCCACCGGGTCGGTTTTCCATTTTCCATTTAGAGAAAGGGAAACTCACTCGATGAAATTCTCTAATCTCCTTTTCCTTCAATCCTGAGTCGGTGTCATCTCGCTAAGAAGGTTGAGCTCACCTCTCCTCGAATGACGCGTGTTGACAGTGCCGTTTCGCAACATCTTTTTTTTCAGTGGGATACTGATTGCTTTCAATGATCTGGTAAAAGTTTTCCAAAGTTCTCTGTGAGCTTGTGTGTTTGAGAGAGTACAAAACGTGTCGCAAAGTAGCAGCCAAGAACAGCTTTTTTTCCCCTGAAGTTTGAACCCCCCCATCCCACCCCCTGAACAGCCATGTATTTTCTATAACTACAAAAACAACAACAATTGACACTCTCATTCATGCCCATACCGCCCCACACATTTTTTTGTTGTTTGAAACAACCAATTTGATTTCGCACACTTGCCTGCCTGCTGCCCGCCTGCCTTTTTTGTTCCGTCTTTCATGTGTGGCTCATACTGCTTTTTGGTTCCCACTACCAATGTCACGGTCCAGTGGCCTTTTTTTGTGTAGCGACAAACTGAAAGGAAAAGTGAGAGGAGAGCAGGTGGTGCAGCGCCAGGAGGTACACAATGCCCGCAGCCTCCAAAGACTAAGAGTGATTTACAGTCGCCAGTCTGGCAGCCGCTTGGCTCAACCTTCTAATTAGTTTGCTGGCCCAGTACTGTACTACTCAATAGATAACCTACGAAGTTAAAAAAATAATAATAATAATAAAATAAAAAATCTGCATACACTATTCATAAAAAGTCTGGAATTTTTGGCTTTCGGTAGAAATTTCACGATGAGCCTAAAAATGCATGAAACAGTCGTCTTCATCATGCTGTGCGTATTTTGACACCATGCGACCAAAAGGACTCCTAAAAAAATGATCGGAAGTATTCCCATCCAAGAGAAGCGGCTGCTTAGCTGAGAGTGTCACAGGATGTCATCATTGTAACAACTATAGGGAGACCGGAAGAGTCACAGAAAGGCATAGGAGTAGAATTATTTGGACATTTATTGGTCAATTCTCGGTTTAAACACTGAATAATATGGAATTAGAGAATAGCAAGTTGTGCAAAAACAACCGAGACATTGAACAGCTGGACGTTTTTTTCAAAAATTAAAATGGTAATGGTATGATTTGATCTAATATAGTTTGCCTCTGCCGATAACATTCTTCTACATTCGTGTAAAGTTGCCGTCTTCTCCCACAGGCGGGTCATGGTTTGACATACTATATCGAGAACAGAGCCGAGTGTCAACTTTAATTGCGGCTGTGATTCTCGAGACTGCACAATGACATTCCGAAAGACAGTCACTCTTTAATTAAAACAATACTGCAGCCGCATTGTCAGTGACGACGACATTGCATTTTTTGAGCCTAAATGTTTAACTCATCTATCTCCGAAAGAGCGATATGCCACGGTGCCTTGTGAAATCATTTTCACACCTTTACGATTGTTCCAGCCCCTTAATCCCTGCAGCGGCAGCAGCCTCTACCTACAAACTTTAAAAACAATTATTAACTGCTTGCCACTGGAGTACCACATTCTTTTTTTTTTTTTTAATCTGGCCTTTTCCCCAAACTCCCTCAAGACTCGGGTACTTCTACCCCATTCAAAATAGCAACTTTTTACAACACTATGTTATTAACGCTCCACCTCAACACCACAAGATTGTATGCACTGCTCAAAAAAATAAAGGGAACACTAAAATAATGCAATTTAGATATCAATTAAAGAAATGTTGCACTTTAATCCCACCGTGGAATGTGTTGAGGACAAAGTAATGTAAAATTGGATTATTATCCCACAGGGTCTGGTTTTGGCATCCTACATGAAATAAAAGTGGACACTCAGAAAAGAGGCTGATCCAATTTCAGTGGAAATTCCTCGGGACAAGTCAAAATGAGGCTCAGTAGTGTGCGTGGCCTCCTCATGCCTGTTCGATGTCCCTAAAACGCCTGAGCATGGTCCAGATGCGTTGGGGAATTCTCTTGAAGGATCCCCTCCCAGACCTGGATGAAAGCATCAGTCAGCTCCTGGACAGGTGGTGCAACGTGGCTTTGGCGTATGGAACGAGACTTGACATTCCATCTACAATTTATTCCTCACAATTTATATGACATCGTGCGGTGTACACGTGAACAAATTACCTCACTTACAGCAAAAAAAAAAAACGGATCGGCACTGAAATAGAAATTTCTTAAAAAAAAAAAAAACATGAACCACAAAACTAAAATGCAAATCTATAAAAACTTAACTAACTGAACTGCAAGTATGAAATAAAATCGAAATCTCCTTTTTCAGTATGTCTTTGTTCTTGGAATCTCATGTTCTGACCCGGCAGCAGTGTATTTTCCTCTCCTCGAATCCATGTCTGGAATGGATCCTCGACGCCATTAAAAAAAAGAGAGAGGACAGTCGTCTTCATCATGTTGTGCATACACGCTCCAAAATCCCGTGGTGGCAAAAGCAACGTCTCAGATTGGAGCTGGCAGTTACCATGACCACCTGGAGCCACACTGGTTTATGGGGCGATAGAATTAATGCCTGGAGCGAAAGCCGATCGACGTGACAGAGGAGAGGAAATAAGGAAAGATGAAGTTTGCACTCGGTAGCTGGTCAAAGGAGAAAGATAACGATGCATAGAGTATCGTCCCCGGTACACTGGGTCGTAGACTTCGACCCTTACATAGTACATCGTAGACGTCGATCGTTTGAATATTTGCAGCGGGTGGTTGAAATTGACATTGGTAGCTATACTGTATAGATAGCTAGCTAGCTAGCGACCTCGCTAGCTTGGGTTGCGAATCAATGCTCTGAATTACTCTTCCTTTCCGGTAGATGGGCTTTATTTTTTTTCCCCCCCAGCTACTTTTTACATGGCAATGTCCCAAAACCCTCAGACAATTAATAGTTTGATTCAATCGTTATAAAACGTTTCAATTCGAAGGCTAGGTCACGGGCACACCAACTGAGGTCAAGAGAATTTCTTCCTTTTCTTTTTGCTCAACAAATACATGGTCTGTAGTGCAGTGTCATTTGTGCAAATAAGACCAAATAAAATGAAAATAAAATGAAAAATAGGCCACTCAACATTCACCATGAAGACAACCTGGGGCTAGACTGTTTTGCTGTCCTATTCAGTCGACGAAACGACAAGCATACACATGAGATGGAAATGCTATTTGGATTAAGGGTTTCAATTCAATCACTGAAAAGAATAAAATGTTTTTTGTCACCCAAAGGAGCTAAGTGACTGACCACTTACCCCGATCTAAAATGGCCATTGAAAATTACACTGCATGTGGGGAGTTTTTTTAGTTTGGTGGAAAGGTATTTTTTCCGAATGCAGCAGTGTGCACTAATGATGTGTTAAATAACTGACAGTCCGCCGGGGACTCAAGAACAGTCAATGCACCTTCTGTCAAGCCAGAAAGATATAAGCCATTGGATAGTTAACATACTGTAACGGATTCAATAAATGGCTGTGAAGAGGAGGGGGAACAGAAAAAAAATAAAAAGAAACCCCAACAAACACCTCTGCACTATTTCTGGCTGCCATCTTTGCTAGCGCAGAATTGTGCCATGCACATGATTTACATTCCCTTTTAAGGCCAGTCGGTAAAACTGTGTGTACCTTTGCCGGACAGATTGAACCTGCGTGCGTCATTGAGGGCGGGCGAATCATGGCGGGAAAACCTTTTCCTTCTCTGTTTCCTTGTTTTAAAGCACAATATTATCCATTTCTGCTTAATTTGCTCGTTCATTGTGGACTGCCACACGTATAAGTGCACGTTTGATTATTGCTGAAATCGTGGTAAGTCAACTGTCACTACATGCTGATTGTGAGTCAGTATGAATCCTCGATGAATAGCTCGAATGGCATTTCTCAAATTAGTCATGAAATCAAACGACCTACCTGCTTGTGCCGTTATACCGGAGACCAGGGGCATGGACAGGGTGGTGTCTCGGGCGTCCACCTGAGTCAGGCATCCAAAGCACGCCCCACCCCCCACCACCCCACCACCCCACCGATAACATTTTTAATGGTCGATAATGGCCCCGGGCATCCACTGTGCTTTGCACACCACTGCCTGACACGCAAGGCTTGTTTTGTTAACGTAAAGGTAATCTAGAAAAGTATTCTACCTCTGTTTTTAATTTTTCATGAGTACTGGCAACACGTGGGCTTCCATTGAGTGTCACAGTGTGACAGCGATAGAAACAGGTGGGACACGATACCCTATGTTAATGTCACAGAATGAGTGACAGGGAGGGAATCAACAGAAACGAGCAACTTAGCTTGGTCAGTGGGAGGCAAACTGAATAATTCATAATGTAAGAAAAACTCCGAAACGTACCTTAGCCTAGCTGACAGGGCCTTGCAGCGCGCACATATATATATATATATATACACACACACACACACACACACACACACACACACACACACACACACACACACACACCGGTAATTTTTTTTGGGGGGGGGGTGTAACTGCAGCTCTTATTTTTAAGGCTAAACGCAGACATCACTGTGACGGATTTTTATCCCTCCCCTTTTTTGCTTTGTATAGATTGTGCAGGCATGTCTCCTGCCCGCTGAGTGTATAGTGACAAAATAAACATACGCCATCAAAATAGAATGCCATCTTATAATTGACATGAAGGAAAAACTCAACACTAGGAAAATCATGATCTGTCTGTCATTTCTGTGTGGCTTTATTTTGTTTATCAAGGCTCCCCAACAATCCAGTGTGGCTGAATCGAGAAAATACAATTGTATCATTTTCGGATGTCTCGACCTGTCACGTCGCTGATGAAGTTATTTTCTGTTGATACACTGCCTGATCCTCTTGTTTCTTTCTTTAGTCCCCCATAACGTTCCACTTCTCTAGAACCTACGAGCCTAATCCTATTGTCATCACGGGAGATCGTGAGTTGATGAAAACCTTCTCTCTCCACCTTATCTCCCAGTGATGCCTCAATAGGGCAGCCAAGCCAGGCAATTGCCCAGGGCCCCAAGCGAAAGGGCCCCCCCCCGAGATGTGTGTGTGTGTTTTTTTTGGTCGCCGCGACCAGGGGTCTCCAAACAACCCTCTCGTGCTTTCTTACCTTGCTGTGTCCAGGTGAGTGGGATCAACGCATCGATGAGCAGGAAACGGGAGCAGCGAGTTTTGTTCATGGTGGTGATCATGGTGATCTGCTACCTTATGTGCTGGCTGCCTTACGGTATCATGGCGCTGCTGGCCACTTTCGGACCGCCTGGCCTTGTCACGCCTGAAGCCAGCATCATACCGTCCGTCCTGGCAAAGACAAGCACAGTCATCAACCCGGTGATATATGTCTTCATGAATAAACAGGTACTGTCACCTAATTTCATATTTCAGATCTGGTCTGGGTCCATCCATCAGTTTTGTTCAAATATTTTGAGACGTGAAGAACTTGTGTGAAACTAAAAAACAAAGGCAGATTTTTTTTTTTTTTTTTTTACTTCAACTACATGTGGGATTCCACTTTCGGGACTCCACGGTATTATAAACTACACTATGATTAATACAAAAAAAGGATATAATACTTTGTTTGTTGACAGCCATTTGTCACTGTGCAACATAAACTGGCTGTCTCTAAGTGGCACGCTATCTAAAAATAAACAGCTACTGAGCCTACGTTTTCGTAGTTGTAATTAATTTCTCTCTGCAAGTGGTGACACCTATACCACAGGGAAAACCTGCAACGCAATTACCAATTAAGTATTATTACGAACACTCTCAGCGGGTCGCAATTAAGCTTGGACCATGTCCACTTAAAACAGCATGATTGAGTACTTGGAAAAAACCAAAACAAAATATCGGATTTTTTTTTTTTATTGATTTGTCTACACATTACTTAGGGAGGTTGTGCTCTTCTCTTCTTCTAATTCAATGGAACAGAATAGACTTATGTGTGGAGAAGTGGGAAAGAGGAACAATAATACAATGTAGATGAAAATAATGAACAGGACAAAATACGGGGCGAGGAATTGGAAACCGAAAAAAAAAAAATCATACTGAATCAAATGAAATAGAATAACAGCTGATTCTACGGCAACGCTTTTAATCACGATGATAATAGTGCATGTGTATGTTATGTTAATATTGAAAGTGCATATGATTCCTATTAGGAATAATGCGCTTGGGAGTTTCAACAACATTGGATAACGGAATGAAGAATCCAAAGGTGTGTCGATTGGTGAATTAGGCGAGGTTATTATGGTTCTGGGCAGGAAGCTGAGCCTCAATCTGTTGACGCAGCTTTTGTAAGCTCTGAGAAGGCAGCAAACGGGTGCTTACTGGGGTTGCGAGTGTACTTGATGATGTTTGCTGCTTTAATGAGCTATTGATATCCGGCAAGGTCCTCTAAACGGGCAGGGAGGATCGGACGCGCCGCGCCGTGAGACTTCATGATCACTGGCATGAGTGCAACAGGTCAGTCGTCATTGAGGCTGACCGCCGCTGGCATTTGGAGGACGGATTAAAATGGACAACTTCGGGCATGGAGGGATCACGGTTTGTGACGGGGACACTTTGAAGTTTTTAGTGAGGACACCTGTGACTTGTCGCCGAGTACTTTCCCGACTGTACCGGGGCAAGTCGCTTTCCTGCGTTTCGCAGTCCTCCGCATCTGCCTCGTCGCATGTTCCTGAAGTAGCTTAACCATTTGAGGTCGGTCACATGAGGAATAACATATGGCAGAAAGAATCTATTTCTAAATGCCTTTATTATCTTGACCAATCTGAATTTTACCGCTCAAATAGAAGAAGAACATTCCAGGCAGGCTGTAATTTTGATCCCGAAAGTGACTTTTATACCAAACGAGCATCGAAAATGCCATGATAGAATTGCAGCTTTTTTTTTTTTTTAACTGCCTACCCAGTGGTCCAAATATCTCTTTGCAGATCTTCAGTGTGCAGTATGACAGCGTGTAAAGTTTATTGTCAACTGTTAAGAGGAGGCCCCTTGTAAAACTGGACATGATGGCAACATATACGGCGGTCCCTTGCGAAATTGCGGTTCATCTTTCGTACGATTGCTGTTTCGCAGTTAATAATAATAAAACTCTATATTTTTCCAGAGTGTGTATAAACAGGAGAGAAATGTGAGAAAATAACGCGAGGGTAACTTGTCACTTCACTTTAAAATCTTTGAATCAGTAAAGTAGCTCCGATTCTTTTTCGAGGTCATTCTTCCAACACGTGAGGCAGGAGACGGGATCAAAGCAAAAAATAAGCAGCCAAAGATGGGAAGTGAACTCAACCATCAGACAAGAGTTTATGCCACAGAATGATAATAAGAGGAAAAAAATACTTCTATTTTCTTCTCTCTTAGTGAACGTACTGCGTTAACTTTGACGGTAAAAGTCATTTGTAAGTCTTTCGTGAATTCAGCTCGAATGAGCTAAATTGTACGCTTGTCATAGCCTTGTTGCACTTTTGCCGCAAAAGGAATTTCTTTGAGGTCAGGTATTGTATCATGGCTCCAGAAAGTCCAGATGCTTTAAACAAGGCTTCCACTTCCAGGACATTCTCATCCCTCGGTGTCCAACATCGAGCCTCTCAGCATCTGATATTGATGCGCAGCAGGTACCCTGTCGGAGCGAAGTGAAAACTGAAGTATGTCAACACTCTCACCAGGCACTCAGCGTGCCATGCTACTACCAGAAATAAATACTTGATGTCGTGTGAGAAGTCATACGACAATTACATGAGTGACTTTTATCATTCCATTTTTTTTTTGTTTGTTTGCTTGTTTGTTGCAATGTCGACTACAAGTGTTACATATCTCCCAAGAAGGAAATTTGTCTTATTTCCATATCCCGAAATACAAATCCGACGCAGACCTCAGCTCAGCTGCAAAGTGATGACCTCATGGGAAATTGTGAGAAACACATAGCACCGACTTGTGACAGCCTGACGGCGACACTCCGATGTCCTGTATGTCATTTTCAGTCTTCAATTCCTCCCAGCCCGTTACTATGGAAACTGTGAGTTGAGGCGAGTTGAAGACTAAAAATGCTGTACAGATACGAGGAACAGCTGGCGTGCGTTTCGACCATCATCCATCAGTGGCGCCCACAGTCAACAGAGCCAAAGAGGCCACCGGGAAAAGGAATCCGGTGCTGTGGACTTCGGGGTACGATTTCGCTCGGTGCGCTTTTTGATTCCTGTCAACGAACGGCGTTTTGACGTGATGTGAAACAAACTCACTTCCCGACAAAGTCGCAGAGACGGGAAATCCACTGGAGTGAATAACGTCCAGATGAAACATTACGAATGCCTAATTAACTATCTGCCCATCCGTAACGTCTCACATACCTTCACAGCCGACTGTGCAGCGCACATCCGGCCTGGCAATTTGGAGCAATCTCGAGGTTATGAGAGCAGCATTTCAAGTTGCCTTCCCTTGCTGAGATCTTCTTTCAGACTCGCGCACAATAAACAGTCAGAAAGCACATTTCAAATACAAAAAAAAAAAAAGGCAAAATGCTGCTCCCCTATCCTTATTTCTCAACATACCAAAACTTATTCTGCAATGATAACGAGGCACACAATGAAGCCAAACCTCCTTTGCTATGTTCTACTGCTGCTTAATTCCAGATGCCTCCACCAGTGCAGAAAGTGCATTCTAAATTTTGAAAGTATACTGACAAGCTGGGAGGGATTCAATTTATATTGCCGTTTTATTGTTTGGAGTTGTCTCATGATGAGTGACAGGTTGACAGGCCCAATGATTTGTTGAACCATCTTCCTTCAACGGCGAAAAAACAAGGACAGATCTTTCTACTGCATCGGCTTTTACGAAAATGGAAGGCTTTTAGGTGCGCCTTTTAGTGCGGAAAATACGGTACTTGCGCTTGCGAGATTCACCGGAGAGTAGTTAGTGTGCTCTATTGGTTGAACTCTGCATCTTTATGGCCATCAACTATATTTAGATTTCTTGCGGCCTTTTGGGTTCGTAAAAAAGAAAATTAAATACATTAAAAAAATCAATACACTGCATATGAAATACAAAAAAAAAAAAAGGCAAAATGCTGCTCCCCTATCCTTATTTCTCAACATACCAAAACTTATTCCGCAATGATAACGAGGCACACAATGAAGCCAAACCTCCTTTGCTATGTTCTACTGCATCGGCTTTTACGAAAATGGAAGGCTTTTAGGTGCGCCTTTTAGTGCGGAAAATACGGTACTTGCGCTTGCGAGATTCACCGGAGAGTAGTTAGTGTGCTCTATTGGTTGAACTCTATACATCTTTATTGCCATCACCTATATTTAGATTTCTTGCGGCCTTTTGGGTTAGTAAAAAAGAAAATTAAATACATTAAAAAATCAAAACACTGCATATTAAGACATTCAACAGCAGGACATATTGCCATGTAAGGCAAGCAGCTATTCTGCTATGAAAATTCCACGGCGATCGGCATTCCGGAAATAGGAGGCTTCTGAAATTTGAGGTTGATACCGCATGCTCGTTGTGTACAACGACATGTAATACACAGTATAGCAATTGCATGCTGGGAACAGGGAAGGGCTGTCATTAGATTCCTTTCATTCTGTTCATACGTTCTTGTATGTGGCAGTCAAACAGTTTCCTAGTTGGAGTACTCAGATCACATTTATTCACTTTTTTTTTTTGAACTCCCGGGATGCTTCTCAATATCACAGTTTATGGGAGCAAATGAAGTCATCTCATTATCATAGTAATGCTCATAAACAAAGCATCGGGGCATGGAATGACTTCATTTAGATTCTTTAAGCACCACTCAAGTGACTTTCAGCATCGAAATAACCACGAGACCACCGGAGAATTTGCAATGCTATATTTCCTCCACCCCCACCGCACAAATAATTAGTGTGCATTCTTTGGAACATTCCCGACAAACATTTGAGACCAGCTTTGCAGTTTTAACATATCTGTCTAGCTAAGTGTCAACTTGAAGTTTCTCGACAGAAACAAAAAAAATGTTTTCTCGCGTATGAAAAGCCTACAATGTCTCTCGTACTGCGCTCGCATCCAAAGCAAGACGTCGCCTACTTCAAAAACGGACACACCCTCAAAGTGCAAAATGTTATCGGGGCATCAGACCAGGTAGCTGAGAACGCTGTCCGAAAGCACTGCGATCATCACGCTCTCAGAGGCGCCTCTGACCTTTCTCACTCTCTCTCCAAAGTACCTTGTCACCGCATCAGGTTCTTTCCATCTCCCTGCCATGATTTATGTTTCTGCGCCTGTCTCCCTTGTTTTGCTTGACCTTCTAGCCTTTTGCGTGCATGTGTGCGTTGCCATGCTCCGACCCCTTCCATTGTTCCTCTTTGCTCCACCGAGCCCCGTCAGTGTATTATTAGGACAGCTAAGGAGAAATGTTGCTTGCCTCCATTCTCAAGATAAGCTTCAGGTTATTGACAGACAGAAAAGGCGGGGAGGCAGCGTATTCCTTATAGAAATATACCGCTTGGCATGTCCTGAGGCATTTCGCTCGCATCCGGCAAATATTCAGTCAGGTGTCAAGTTTGTTCGGTGGTACGCAGCATCCTTGCATACTTATTTTGTTGTCGAGACAAATTCATCGCTGGCGATGCAGTAATGAAGGGCAAAATGTGCCTGTTGATGTTTCTAGTTTGCACCCTGTTGGGTCTCGTTTATTTTTCTTCTTCCAGAAAATATTTTTTAATATTGTCAAGAACAGTATTTCATTTGATTTAAAGGCTTTTTTTTAATCCACCTTTATCGAGACAATAACTTTAACTCCTGTTTATGTCATTACTTCTTTTTTCTGCTTTTATATTCCAGACACTTTTTAAAATTTTTTTGCTACCATGCAAAATTTGACGTCAACATATAAATTAATCTAAAAATCCAATCAGTACTCTTGTGCAAATGTTCGGTGCTAATTCATAAAGCTAACGATTATGTTGATGTAATAGTTTCTGCAACTCTTGAGTAGTTTTTACTGTTGTCTTTATTTGTTGGAGGTTAGAAATCCAAGAACGACATCGGCCGCATCCTGTCACTCAACAATTCTGTACATGCTTTCGCAACGTGATTTTTTTTTTTTTTTGATGTTTGTCTGTTTCCAGCACACTCCACACAGGTGATTTTTTTTTCCCTAAGATTTGAAGTTTTGGAGGTTTATTTTTCTAACTGCAAATAGTAACTACAATGTTGGACGCAAGAACACTAATGCTCATGAAAATCCACGTTCAACATTATGTTCCTGTGGGTGTTGTCATCAACCAGCTCGTGCCAATGTCATTGTGAGACATTTTCTTTTTTATTGGACGTTTCAAGAACACTATCATAGAGTTAATTAATTAGTTTAGTATTTGACTTAAATTTTACCCACAAACACAGCGACACTTTGATTTCATTTTTTACACTTCTCAGGAATTGCGTGGAGGTGAAGGATTCTCATGGGCTTCCATATAAAATGTGTTTGTTGGACGTTTGGCAATATGTTTTGGGAATGTTTTGAATCAGTTTTGATCAATTATCTCCATTTGCTGTATTTTTTGTATTAAAGCAATGTTGTGTCATCTGGTTTCCCGTCTTGTGTCTTTCTACTTCTTCAAACAGGCCACGAACGACTTTTCCGTATTTTGCACTTGTGATAAAATGTAGTAGACTATAAGTATACATTCAACTCAAAGCGTATACTAAGTATACTACGTTTTCTCAAGAGTGTTATCAGATTCCACGTGTAAAGGTGAACTCGGAAAGCCGGTGGAAAGAAACTGTGAATTGTGATGTGTGCGTTTCCCATCTTCAACCTACACTGTGGATGGCCATGTTTGGAAATGCCTGGAATTTTAAGTACAGCCAAGCATCCTCAATGAATTGTTATGCTGTCAAAACTGCTGCTGGGGTGCTCAATTATTCAGAATCTACCCATCTGTCCATCAGCCCAACTGGATACCTGGACTTTGAGCTGCGTGACACCGGGGGAATTAGGTTGTGTAGCGGTTGGTGTAAAACGGGAGGATCTGCATGAAATCGGAATGCTGAAACTTCCACAAGTCTCCATGGATTGAATAATCCATCAAGGGGTCATTCACTATTTATTATATTTTGACAGATGATTTACAGAGACAAGAAGCCTGATCCTCACTTTCCAAAGCAGTTTGATTTGGGTGATATGTAGTAGAAATATTCAATATAGAATAATCAATCATATCAACGCGCATCGGAGATTGTTTGAATTAGCACGGACCTATGTTTAGCATTCAAACGTTTAACAAGGATGCAATCCTGTTGACTAAATCCCCAGACTATAATTTTGTAAACTTGCTGCGCTGGTTTAGTTGCAAAACGTGTGCAGCTGTCTAACTGTTATATTATAACAGCTTGACACAAAGCCTCCAATTGTAAAAGTTACCAAAAAAAAAAAAAAACTAAAAGTACAAAAACAGTGGTCTTTTGAGACTATGTAGGGGGTAGCAACATATTAGCGGGAGGCTAATAAATACTCTAGCGTATAGCCTGCAGGTCACTTTATCATTACATGATGCACAATTAGGTTAACGCCATTCATATCTGCATACCTTTATCTTTGGCCCTTTTCTCCTCTTCCTTTTTTCTCCTCTTCTTAAATTGGGGACCCGATCGCTTTATGGAGCGTTTCTCTGTTGGGTTTAGTCGTCATCACCTTTTCCCCATCAGTGTGAGTGACAACCACCAAGGTCCGTTTGACGCAATGTAAACAAACTTAAGACTACGGCCGGGAGCAGATTCGTGTGAGCAGATTCGTGTTTTGTTTTTGTTTTTTTTAACTCCCCTCAATTTCCGATCGTACATTAAAAGTTAGTCTATGAGTCTCTGTTTGTTTTATGAGTGATTTTGAAATGCAATTTATTTGGGGACAGAAATATGTGCAGTCGCAAGTTGACAAACTGACGAATTTTCAAAAATATCGCACGTAGGACCGCACAGTTCCTAACCGGGTGTCTGACAAAAAAAAGCCATTTTTAATAAGAACAAAATATGTGCAGACATCTTTTTTTTTTAATTGACCAAATATTTCAGTGTTAATACAAAACGCAATCAACAAACCAGTCTGCGTTAGCCAAATCATTCAGCAGACTCAGAAAGAAGCAGGCGGTCACTATGGAAATGAGCAACCCAATATAAATGTGCGAGTGTTATTTTTAGGACGGAGAGATGGAATTATGTTCTCGTGTTGTCTGTGCTCTTTCACCCACAACCCGTGAGAGAAAATGAGCAACTTAATCATTTAGCCAATTGAGCATGCAATAATGGTGAACGAGAATCTAATTAGTAGAATGTTTCACACAATTTGGAAACTCTACCAATACATTATGTCCCTGGGCCTATTTTTTTCTCATGTAAAAAGGTTTGCCACAATAACCCTAAAATCATGTTGCGAGAAGCAGAAGGGAAGGAGACAGAGAGAGCTTAATCAGTCATAATTATACCTAATTGCCTTAAATGTTTACCATAGAGAAATGGGAGCAATTACAGGGCCAACTTTCAACTTGCTCCAGGAAGAAACTTTACTGGCAAAACATGATTCTCTCCTTTGTGCACGTTTTATCTGAATCCATTTTGAAATCCAATCCTTGTCTCGTATGCCTTAGTTTTACAGATGCTTTCAAGCACTGCTACATTGCGAGGCTCCTCGGCGAGGCTCCAGTGTGAAGAGCTCATCAAAGGTTGCCACCAAGCCGGTGAGGGCTGGCGCGGTGACAGGTCTGCGTCATACCAACGACTTTCTATACATGGTGGCCTCCCTGGGTCAGCCAGCTGCTGCAGTGCCCCAACTGGACCCTACCCTGGAACCCACCCATGATGTCACCAAAGCCCCTTCTTCAGACTTCAACCAACCTGCTGTGGTATCACTCGTGGCCCACTTCGATGGATGAATTCTGGCTATGACCTTGACATTAGCATGAAATGGCGATGTCTCCAGGCTGGAAGGCATTAATAATGAATGGTGCCGTTGCTGAGTTTGGTCCGACTGCAACGAGCCAGTTCAGACGAATAAAATAGAGCTCTTGCATCAGCTGAGTCCAGGTTGCTGTAGCCAATACACAGCAGTTCTGGAGGGAAGCTTTGGAATTACTTTCAGAAATTATGAGCAGGGTTGGCAGGAACTGAACCTACCTACATTGCCCCTTTGTTTATCTGCAGACAAAATGTGAACATGCAAAAAAAAAAAAAAGACACTAAAGGGGCAATAGAATACTTTTTAGGTGTTTTTTTTGTCAGCAGTTTGTAAATATTTTTTTAAATAACTGAATGTGAATGGAAGATAGACAGTTTTTCCATATTGTCTACCAACAGTAGAACTGAAAGAAAGAAGCCACGGCGTAAGACTGTCGACAAAGACGAAGAATGTAACACCGGTGGTTTTCAAGTAATTCCCCTGTCCGACAACGTTGTCTTAAATTGATCAGTTGTCACTTTAAAATGATTTAAAGGTCCCCCTAATTGACATTTCATCCTAAGACGCGATTGAACATGTACTTTGAAGCACCGCTGCCATGTAAGCGGCATTGAAAGGTGACAGCGATCAAGAAATGCACGTGAAAGAGCTTCTGCATCGTTCCCTCAGTGGTCTGCATGCGCACTTGACGATGGCATCCCTGATTGAATGAATACACTTAATCTCACGGTGACATTTGGTCATGTTCGGTGGATAGCGCGAGAAACTCGGCACACCTGCCCAATAAAACATTACGAAAATGAACGATCCCCTCGCAATGATCTTTGCATTGCTTGTAATATGATATTCCTTGCATGGTAACGAAATCAAATGTTTCTGGTTAAACCCAATGCTCAGGATCCCTTCTTTTATAAACCGAAAGGGTTGGCCGCATAGTGTCTTGCTTCGGGGCAGTTGCTCAGCAAAGCACACGGGCGGATTTCACATGCCTCCCAACGCTATGTTTACAACAATCGGCGACTATTTCGAACAACAGGCTCCATGTCCTCGATCACATCAGTACGTCTTTCGAGTGCACAGCAAAGTGTTCGAGTGACATGACAATACGTTCTCGCTAAAATGATTTTTGTTCCGTATATATTGTTTGTCATGTGCTTGTCGGCATCCTGCGAACCGATTTCGACCTCTTCATTGTCTTGCAGTGCAAAGATAGCTGTGAGGTTTTGCAAAGCAGAGCATCAGGTGCTGTGTTGCCAGTGAATAGTTCAGCTTTCAGTGTTGTGTTTCTCTCGAAAAACAGCAGATGTGTTGTGTAGACCCCCCCCCCCCCCATCTACCGGCTACAAAGATCTTGTATACATCATTGTATGGTACATAGGTTGATACCAAAGCTAAAGAAATGTTGATATTTTTGGAGAGGTGATGTCTTAATAAAGGTTTTTATCTACGACGACACATGCAACGTTTTGTCTTAAAAAAAAAAATCTGTGAAATATGAACACTAAGGCAGATACAGTCGAAGAGGCATCAGCGAACAAGATGCCAAGAGACTTGAACTGCTCCGCATGGGGCAGACCTGGAGAGGGCAGTCCGCACCTTTCCGACTGAGTACCGTTGCCTCGTACTTGTATTTGCTTTACTGTTGATCACTTTGTAACACTTTGAACAGTGCTATACAATCAAAGCCATTATTATCCTCCTGATTGCTCTTTTACCCATCCTTGGAAAGGAACGCTTACCATCATCAACATAAATGTAAATATGGCATCGGTGTCATGGTTGACAACAACCAAGCACTCCGTCTGATGATTAATCATCCACAAGAGCTTGACGTCAAATTGCCTTTACGTTACCAGAGATTTTTCATCAACAGCCGCGATGAGCAGTTTGCCCGCAAAGGATCTGCTTTCAAATTGATCCCTCACTTTCCGCAGCCTCAACTTGTCTGTCTCAATTTCTGGCTTCTACCCCTGGATGAGATCAAAAGATCTCTACTCAGCAAAGAGGGCAGGAATTGATGAAGAGGACAAAATGGAGTGGGAACTGCTCAGGTGCTTGTTTCTCATCAAATAGTTGAAATGACTTGAGATGACAAAGGTTGGGATGTCAGCCTCAGCCAGGGAGCCGCTTTTTGAAAGGAAGACCTGAAAAATACATGCAAAAAAATGATGAAAAGTCAGCAAATTTGTATTGGAAGGCATTCCTTCGTGTTTTATTTTTGACGATTTTAACTCGTGAGTGCGGTTTACGTTTTGTATTTTGTGATTTTTTTTTTTTTTATTCATGATTAATAATAATACAACAGAACTTTTCCTTTATAATCAAAGCTTTTTATACGTGCTCCTAATGCTGTTATTTTCAACAGGAACACACTTTGGAGTGATTAGGAGGTGCCGCTGCTATTACAAATGATTATAATTTCGATTTGTAGTCAAACTTGCAGTAAGTCTGACGGCCGAGAGAGGCTCTCGAACACACGTGAGCTGTGCTACAACAGTGTCAACTAAAACTATTTTTTGGGGGGGAGGGGGGGACGTTGGATGAAAACACTGGCTACATTTCAGTTTTGGTTTACTAAACTGGCAGCCATTAATTTTTTTTTTTTTTTTTGCTGTACTGTGTGGCATTTAATTTGGCTGCTAAGCATGTTTATGCGTCTGAGGTGATCAAAAAGCCCGGCCCGAGAACTGTGTGACGTTACGAGCGTTGACAGTTTTTGAACTGAATGAAATTATCGCAATCGGTTTCTGACCCAAACACGGTGCAAGCCTGCAAACGCTGTCCCCCAAAACACCCTCGCGTGACATTAAAGCCCACCAAATGCTGAAAAAAAATATGTCTTGGATTGAGGACACCCCCCCGCCCCAAAGCCCCACAGTATAAGATATGCTAACTAAATTAGGTTGCGCTGCCTTGTCTTGATTGCTTAGCCTGTGATGCGGCCACACCTCCGGAGGAATCAGCCTGCGCAGCAGATGGCGGTCGCTGGCCTCAATGCCAAACGCTTCTCACGTCTCCGAACAGCAAGTGAGAACAATTCTGCTTAGCCCCTCACTGGGCTTGCAAAGCTGAAAGAAAAAAAAAAAAAACAGCAGGTCACTATGAGGATGAGCTTTCTGTCTCATTAGGCAGAATAGTGCAACATCCTATGTGGACCATCACGACATCCACGCAAACCCCACGATACGCTTAAGCATACATTTCCAGTCGAGCGCTGAGGAAGGATGAATTTTAAGTCCCCATCTCCACGCTCCAGTTCTCTTATTTATACATTTTGTCTACTCTCCACTTGGCGAGGTCGGAGCTCATCCCAGCTGACTTGGACCGATCACCTGTCAATCACAGCCCTAATGGAGGACTATTGTGCGATCCGACTAGATTTCATTTCTCAGTTACGCAGACTTGACGAAAGAGCAAAGATGTTATATCGAGCTCCGAAGAAACTGATGGAAGAAAGATCCGTCGAACCGGAGCGCATCGTAGAGTATATTTTTTACATTCTGGGCATATACTTGAGAGGTGCTGCCGTTGTAGCCATTGTGGGATACATTTAATCGCACAGTAAAAAAAAAAAAAAAAAAAAAAAGATTCCAAAAAAAATGCTTTAACACTCGACTGTAAAATTGTCTTCATGTGGAAACTACTCTCCGCTTCTTCATTGTTCACCACCATTCATGGTTGCAGTAAAGCGTCCGACCGGTGATGTCAGGAATGTTTACTTCCACCTGATCGCAATCTCTGAAACCGCTCCTCACCCTTGCGGCATTACACTTGATCAGCTGTCTCTCTTACCATCCCCAATCCTGCACTCCGTCTCTCTTACTCTCCTTTGTCTTTGTGCCAGTGCTTCTCATTTCCCACTGCCACAAATGCATCGTAAGATCAGCTCGAAATCTCAAAATAATTGCTGCCCAGCAAGCTATGTTAAAGTGAGAAAAGCACAGATCCTGTGGGAATAACAGGAAGGGCACTTTTTGAGTGGAGAAAGGAGAAATTCCCAAGGAAACAGGAGGCGATCCAAACGTCATTAATCACCAGCCGGGAGGACAGCTAGACTAAATTGGAAAGGCGGGAGATTTCTTCTTTTTTTTTTTTATTTTCCTATTTCTTCCTCTGTCTTCATTCAATGTCCATTTTCCACACCTCAGGTTCTATTGAGCTGCACATTCTAGTCCAACTGAATTCATTCCAATTTTTTTTTTTTTTGCTCGCAAGTGACACAATTTGGCGATGCATCACCAGCGGTGGGCATTCCATCAGGACCGACGGAAGGTCAGTATCTGTCACTGTCTGTCTGCACGGGGGAGAACATGCAAACTCCACACAGGAAGGCCGGATACGGAATGGCACTGTGAGGCGGACGTGCTAACCGGTCGATCACAGCCTGTCAATTTTCGTCATTTTCATAGGATATTTTTGTTGTCTTTGCTCCGTGAATGCCTTCGGTTGTTCTGTTTGTTAATGCTTTTCGTTTTTGTTTGCGCTTTTAGTGGTGTGAGGCGCTTGAAGTTGCCCTCTGTTTGAAATGTGCTCGAGAAATAAAGTTGCCTTGCCCGGATCACACACGGATAACACTCTGATCTGACTCAGATACCCGCGACATTATAAGCGGGCAGAATGGATACACCATGTTTGTCGGAAGACGCTCAAAGCTCCAATCAATGGTGGAGCACAACCACGACCTCGCACCCCATCGATTCTCTTCCAAAAGGCAAATATGTAGAAGCGGGGCTGGATGATGATAATGATTGAGAAGCACGTTAGCTGTCAGCATATATTCACTGCATCAGACGCATCGGAAAAGTGCGTGATTACGGTCCAGCTTTTTCTTTTAATTTCGGTTTGCAAGTTGAAGGGAAAAAAAAAATCCACCAATAATTGAAAGCAGAAGCAGCAGTTAAAAAGAAAGCAACTGATGGGTCGCCACGTGACGGCGTAATCTTCCAAAGATGAAGCGAGTTTGAAAAGAGCCTCGTAAAGGACAAGGCAATACAACAAACACTGCTGAATTTAAAAAAAAAAAAGAAAAAAAAGAAAAAAAGAAAATGTAGCTCTGAAGTGATGAAATGGAAAGCATAAAAATGTGAGCAGAGAGAGAACTGTTGAATAAAACTTTGCAGTGCTCCTTTGTTGTCATGGCGTTAATCAAAACGCATTCAAACTGTTTTGCGGTTGATCTCGTGTTCCAGAAAAAAAAGTACCTTGTTCGCTTTTGCCCAAAATCATCTGTACTTTTTTGTTATTTTGTTCAGGATAGTCGCTTTTAATGCTGCCCCCACACAAAAGAAAGGAAGCGCCTGTTGTCATTGGCCAAATTTCCACAGGCTTTTCCACTGTCACTTCCCATTTTGTGGTACATTTCCTATGGATGCCGTGCATGCAAAAAGCTCGAAATGCCACGGACGGGAAAAGTGCAACGCAAAGAACGTGAGGTCACATATTTGTAAGTGATCACATATTGTATCAATTACTCACCGGCATGTTCTCTCTTTGTTGACACGGATTGACGAAAAGCACATCATGTGCGATTATACAAAGGCCTTCTCGGGGTCAGCGGGAGCTAATTAAGATGGTAATTGTTAATTATATGCTTTGTTTAGCCCCATAAGAGTCAAGTGTGGTTTCAAATCATTTGGATGAACATGCCATTTTTATTTCACTCCGAAAAGATCAAAGTGTCACAGAATCTGCGGTGAAATGGAACGGGATTAGTCATGATAATTCGGCTCGTGGAGCTGTTCATTAATTTTTCCATTTCCTTCAATTTATTTACATGTTCGTGTCTCTCCGCTTCCCAATACAATTATTGCGGTTTGGTAATGTTTTGATTATTTTCAGGAGCATCAATTTCAAGTTTAGGAACGGCAGTTTTTGTTTTGTTATGTTTTTTTAACGCAGACTTACATTATTGGAAGTAGAAGAACTTTGACAATCGGTGGCTGACGAAACTTTCGGCTCCACTGACCGGTGTGCTTTTACCATTTTTGTTCCATTAAAAGTAGCCTCATTTTCCCCCTCATGGGAACAAAAGCACACAACGATGAAAAGCATTTATCAAGTATCTGTCTCACAATGTAATTTATTCTGATAGCTTGGTCGCATTTACACTTTGATGCGCATGGAGTTGGAGAAGGACAGCAGGAAGAGTCTGAGCAGCATGATGTTATGCTAATGAGGTCTCAGTAGCATACCCCTCTTCACGAAGTGACCTTCCCCGCTGAACTGGACGGGAAGAAAAATGGATCGAAAAGAGAAAGTTAATGAACAGCCTTGGCCAGTCACGGGGACTATTTGTGATGCAGATGTGCGCATTCCGCTTGGCAACCCGTCGAAATTGGCAAACGCTTTGCTTCTCCTGCTTTGTCTGATTTCGCGGCGCGCCGTTGCGTCAAACGTTCTCATAAAACTTGTTTATCGTTACTGTCAAGTGAAAAAAAAACAAACAAAAAAAAAAACCGCAAGCGCCATGTTTTGACTGCAATTTGTTGGTTGGTTTGGTCGTTAGCGGCATTTCACAAACTGTTTTTGCTTCCGACTCGATCGGAGGGATGGCACAATGTACAAGAACCATTCAAGCATGTTTTGCTTACTTTACAAGCCGGAGTCAGATGTTTACTGTATCATTATACAGAGCTGCACAAGTATGACCAGAGATGAGTTAAGTACTCACATTCTTTACTTGAGTAGAAAGAAGAAGTACAATAACTTGCGTTAAGGACAACTAATGTAAAAGTATTAATTCAAATCAAAAGATGATGCCAGCAGAGTTCCGTGCGTGTTGTGGGAGACATGTTCCAGGCATTATTATTTCAAATATTACGTTGATTAAAACGTTCCCACAGTTACAAGAGACAGCAATGATTGTACTCTGTGGTAAAACACCACCAAGGGTACCAATTAAAGGTGAGACAAAACATGGATTTCTGCTTTCTCGCGGTTGTCTGCCATGATTGTTTAACGATACGGCAACGTCCAATACCGATACGGTCACTCTGCAATCCCGCGCGCGTGCTGTTGCCGAGTCTGATTGAGTCTGATTCAACATTACCCGCCGAATCGTGCTAAATGCAGCGCAAACTAGGAAAACCAGGCTTTGATAAGGTCCCGAGCTTTGTGGAACGACGGTGTGACACTTTGCGATTGATCGTGAATGCTGAGGGAGGGGGGGGGGAAAGACACTGGACCCAGGAACTTAAAAAAAAAGTGTTTTTAAAACCGCCATGCAGATAAAACATGAAAGGACGAAATGTGAAAAGATACGGTTAGCTATCTGATGATAAAACTATTTAAAAAGCAGTTGCCCCTTTTCAGATATGAATACGTTTTTTTAACCTTTATTTTCACTTTCAATCTATTCTGTGTGTTTTTCTCAGCTTGATGCGATAGATAGCCTGTTGTGATCTTGTTTCTCCCCCAATATAACAATTCTAAAGGCTCAATCATCATCCTAAAAATTTGCCAGATCCCAGTCAAGCCCAATCGGCTATTTGAATGACAAAACTCGGGAGCGACAGCCCTGTACCAAACCACAGATCATTTCAGCGACCCCTCACCGATGTCCACAAGGAGACACATCTGCAGTGGGCTCAGGAGCAATGTTAACTGCTTTTTTTTTTTTTTTTTAATGTTCTGAAGAATGTATGGATGGTCCACATACTATACATACAGTGTTGCCATTGTGGTGGGGTTTTTTTTCCCTCATTAAAATTCAGATGACCATTTGATTGAAGCTAATAAAACTAATGATGAAAAGATAAGTGAACGAAAGCGGCCCACGGCAAATAACTCGGAACACGGCGTAAGCTCAGGCGCGTGAACGCCGCCTCAGTGTCATTTTTCTTTCACTTCAGGCCTCAGAGGTTGAAAAAAATATCCTGGAAAGGACACGGCATGTGAAAATGAGACAGCGGAGAAATCAATATGGCATCCCAGAGGTCCAGTGAAAAAGGTGGCTCTGGCTCTTGGAGGGGAGAAAGAGAGCTTGTCATTTGCGCACCTTTAATTAATTTTGGGAGCTCCTGAGACGGAAAGCTGTGAGAGGAGGAGACGGAATGGATGTGGAGAGGGT